TCAATTGTCTATGCTCTTCCTTTGAACTATGACTTAAAAAAAATTCCACGTATCCCCAAGATTTCTTCTGTCCCAGGTACAGTACGATGACGGGAGGGAGACGGCTGCTTTTTTTTTTTTTTTTCCTCCTCTCTATGCCGTTTTTTGTTGTCCCTTCTTCCCAATCAGAGACTTGTGGATGTGGGGGATAACACCTGCAGAGAGAAGAAGAGGACTCCCATCAGATACTTCCCAAAAAGCTCCAAGAAAATCTCAATTCCCAGCAGAGTTTTGTGATAACCCGGCACAAACGTTTCCTTCCAGTCAGATCTGGGAAAGCAGTGAGCCGCTGGTATTTATGCCAAATTCCCATGTGTTTTCCTGTATTCTTCCCCCGCCTTCTCACTAAAATTCCCAGTTAGGGACAGGAACAAGGGAAGGGGGCAGCAAGGACGATACCCACCTCCACCGGCAATGGTGGCTTTGATCAGGGAATCCAACTCTTCATCGCCACGGATCGCCAGCTGCAAGTGACGGGGAGTGATCCGCTTGACTTTGAGATCCTTCGAAGCATTCCCCGCCAGCTCCAGCACCTGCCGAGAAATCGGGAAGACACTCGGGATCCCGAGGGACGCAGGATTTATTTTTTTTTCTAATTTATTTTATTTATATTTTGTTTTGGTTTGGTTTTTTTAAATGGAGGAAGGCAAAGCGTGGGGACCTACCTCAGCAGTGAGGTACTCGAGGATGGCGGCGCTGTAGACGGCAGCGGTGGCACCCACTCGCCCATGACTGGTGGTGCGAGTCTTCAGGTGTCTGTGGATCCGGCCCACCGGGAACTGGGGTGGGAGCAATCAACACCTCCTTAACACCTAGAGCCCCCCATACACCATAGGCCCCAAGCGACTTCCCACCCTGCGTGTCTACGGCTTCCAGGAGCTCCTAGAATGACGTTAATGACGTTAACATGAGTTTTAACGAGGGCACGGCTGAGGGAGACACAAAGCCAGATCTTCCCCGCACTTTTCCCCATGGGATTCCATCATAA